CCAGTTGTAGTCTAAAATTAGAGTGTTTCAGGCAATCATTTAGAGAAAGAATTGTTGTTTTATTATACTTTCTCGCTTTCCTAGCAAAAGTCGGATCCGCAATTTCAAAAACTACTACTCGGCGAAATTAATTGCAGGATCAACTTTGAAAAACTTCAAGCTTTTGTGATTGCTTGAATTGGCCAAAAAGTAATTCGATCAAAAAAAGAGCATATATTTTTCGAAATACGTTGTCTTCAGAGGTTCTGTTGCAATTTCATGCGATTGGTTAAAGCATGAAAGGCTAATTGTTTTCTTGATTCGATTGGTTAATATCAAAACTTTTGAGGCCAGCTACCCAAAAGATGAAACATAGAAAAACTTCAAGTAAGCAAGAGCGCTGTATTTCGTAGTCAGAAAGATAAAGCCGTGGTTGAAACGACTCGGTTCAAATGATGTTATTGCTTTTATCGGGTTTGATAGACTTCAAATTATTCTCAATAATTCTTATTCCCGGAACAATAAAAAAAGGAATGTAACTTTGAAATATTGCAATTCCAATTTAAAGCCTGATCTGATACACTCATTCACAATATTTTTTGCGCAATAAATTAAGCAGTGCAAATTAAATAATTCGAGTGCGATTGTTATGACTCGATACGCTTCGCAAGAAAAAACATAAAAAATTTCAACACGGAGATGAAGTGGAGCTTCGCGTTACTTGCGATAAAAACACAAACACAAAAAAAATACATAAGAAGTCAAAAAAAAATGAAATATGTAGGAAAAAAACTAGGTGAACCAAAATGCTCGTATGCTTCGATAAAAGATAACTAGAGGCCCAGCTAAAGCTGGAGGTAGCTTTTTGATATTTATGGAACTTTCTATGAGGGATGAAGAATGAAATAGATAATTTCAAAAACTGGACTTCGCCTTAAACTTTAGTTGTTTCTCCTACGCTGTAGGTGGCAAACTGATATTATGGAGTTTTTATACTGATGCGGGATGAAATGGAATCCCTGAGAAAATGCAATCTTTGAGAAAACGCGATTTTCCCAAATACGTATAATTTTTCTTACAAAACAATAAGGAGTGGCCACTACTGAAGAAAAAAAATTCTCGCAACCGGTTCTTCCAACTGAACATTTCATCTCATATGTGATAGGGTAGATTCTAAGAAAATAAGAAAATCAAATAACTCAAAAAATAGTCAAAGATCAAAAACTTGAGTTTCCGAAACCAGTGACTTTTCAGATGGCCATTACTTTTTCTAATAAAACCATTTGTGCGCATCTCAGATTTGCGCGGGTAGGTTTCGAGAAAAGTCAAAGAATCAAAAACAGCCAAAGATTCACAAATGGGACTATTCCGAGGGCCATGACTTTTTGTGGAGAAAAATTTGGGCGTATCCGTTTAGACAGGGGAGTTTGCCATAACCAGTTTTATCCATTGATCCCAAAACCTCAGATTTATGAGGGTATTTTTTGAGAAAACTAAAAAAATCCACAAATATTCCTACAGACTTATCTGAAGGCTGTAAACAAAAGGGTAAAGTAAAAAGAGAACAGAAGACTATGTAGGCGCACATGGTAGTAGGTGGTCTTTCCAATGAAACGCCTTTTTTGAAATTCGGCAGAGTAATTTTCTACTGAAGTAAAATTTTTGCAAAAACTGAAAAAACTTTCGAAAGCTTCTCAAAAAAGTAAAAATGAAAACCCTATCTCATACATTTTCATAAAACCTGATTTTGCAGAACAGGAATTAATTGACCGTCGAAATAACACAATATAAGTTTAATATGGCGGAAAACGTCAGCCAAAAAAAATAAGTCGAAAAAAAAACATTAAAAAAGAACAAAATTATTCAAAATCAAACTTGGTAAAATGAAAATTTGTTGAACTTTCAACTATTGTAAAAAAAACTATCTTGTAGCAAAATAAAATCCATGCTTCACAAAGTAGGCCGATAAAAACTAGTACCAGATGATATAAATGATATAAAAGACGGAAAATGAACCGACGGAAACTGGGCCGAAAACCACAAATCCGAAAAAATCAAAATGAAAAAGCAATTACTACCCGAAACGTACTCCACATATTAACTACCTAGATGAGGTAGTTATATTTTTTTTTCAAGAAATTGAGCAAGTCTTGAAATTTACCTTTCCTTCCAAAATAGACCATTTGTCAACAAAATTATTTACGAGAAAAACTATTTGCATCTCGAAACTAAAAAAGAGGAGCTAACCTTTAAACCGGAAAAAATCTACAGTCAAAAACTATCTACAAAAAATTCAAGCAATACAAGGCGAATAAGCCGATAACTCATTTGTCTAAACCATTCAAGTCGAATAAATCTTTTGAGGTGCTTTGAAGGAGATTAATTAAAAACAGAGGAAAATTAGAAAAAAAAGGGGCGAATCAACATGCCTGTCATTTCTAGCGAATCTTGCTACAATCAGAAAAAAATTGAATGATTTGAAAGGTGAGCTGACAAAAAATAGCAGACAAACAATCCGAAAACTAAACTTCTCCCAGAAAAATAAAAATCATTTTAATAAAAATCAACCCCGACTAGAATCGAAGCCATTACCTTCGTCGTCTCAAGCACCGACATTAGCTCCACACTAAACATGGTAAAGCAAAACCTGAAATTTGTAGGAAACGAAATATTAGGTAGAAAAGCCGACAAATTACAACTGACAGCCAATGAAAATCAACAAAATATACTGCTTATAAGTGCCAAGAGTGCTTTATATGTAGTGAATGCAAGACCGAATTCGGATACTAAAGCGACACAGTTTGAGGCGACAACCAAAAACACAAATTTTGGAATACAAAACAAATTTAGCACAACAAATTGGGAGACGGAATATGAGACGAAATCCGCTAAGTTAAAAATGTTGAGCCAAGTTGAAAAAATACGATAATTGCTAAAAAATTTAAATGCTAATTACTAGAACAAAAATGGCAAGCGCATTGATTCCGTTCTCATTACTCGGCAGAGCAAAAATTCTGAAAAGTTTGAAGTAAAAAAATTTGTAAAATTTATTTAAAAAGTTTTCGAAAAATTGCACCAAAAATTCGGCAAAAAAATTATAGCTCAACAGCTTCCAGTAGTGGCCTAAGAAAAAAAAAGAAAGCTGAATCTTCAAAAAGAAAGCGTGCAACGGAAACTAAGCCAAAGAAAAAAAGAGACGGACGATTGCATTAATAAGCAGGAAATTTCTGGTTAAAAAACGAATCCGACCGGATTCGAACCACAAGCCTTTGTCGTCTCAAGTATATGTATAACCTCTACGCCAGACGCGCTAGATAATTGATTGAATTTAAATGTATTAAAATAAACAAGTTAAAATTGACAATTTTTTAGGTCTAATTTATCTATTTGTACTACAAAAGGCTCAAGAGCGTGAATTAGATTTTAGAAAAATATTCACGATAGGGATCAATCGTTATAAAACCAACATAACTAATAGGAATAACTAATAAAACATTAGGAAAAAGTCAACAAAATTATAGTCAACGACCCCATTGAAAAAAATTTACGACTTCAGATTGAAAGAAGTTTCGAAAATATTTATGCCTTTCGCTAAAACATTGTTCCTAACAATTCTCTATAAACAATGTGTTGAAAAAAAGGCTTCAACATTAAGTTCATTGGCGTTTTAGCGCTACGTTCAAATAAAAAAGATAACAACTTCTACACCGGCTCTTGATGTTTTCAAAAAAAAGGATTAAAAACGGGCAAATATAATGTCAGAGCAAAACAAAAAGGTGAATTAAAAACGGGCTATTATATTATCAGTGCAAACATGCCATGCTACAAAAGAACGAATTTAGAGAACTGATTCACGCAAGCTAGGTAAGAAAAAATTGTAAAGAAGCTTTTAAATTTATTGTACGGCACAGAAAACTATGGAATAAATTGCAGCCATTTCCGATCAAACTTCTAAACAAGTTTCGCTGATGTTTTGCATTTCTTTTGAGCAATCCTGAAAAAGGCATGGCGGACATTTGCTAAATGAAAATAATTTGGAAGTTTTGGCCTGAGGTCGAGTATTTTCCGAGTTCAAGAATTATTTCAAAGGCGAAAAACAAAGTCAAGAGACAGTTGGAAAACAGCCAATGAACAAAAATATATACATTGACATGCGAGCTTTCGAAATTCAAAGAAAAAATATATGGCCATGAAGCTTTTTGAATTTCAGGATCAATTTAAAATTGACAATTTATTTGATGAAAATAACACTTCCGAAACTAACAGTCGATCAAATTTTTTTCGTGATCTTTACACTTTTGCTGTTCGATAAAGGAGTTTGCCTTCCTTTTAACCAAGGAATTGAACTAAACTTATAAATAAACCAAACGTCAAACCGCGAAAAACGAATGAACGTGAACAAATTTCTAGACATTTACTGAAAAAGAAGTTTAACAATAAATCATTACGATCTATAATACGACTCATAAACTTACTACATAAAACTGATAAAAAAAGATAAAACAATCGTTTGCTTATATAATGAAGCATTCGCGTCCCATTTGCTTAGGATAATGAAGCCTTCGCCACCCAGACTGAGCCAACTGTCATGGCTGCTTTATAAATTTTACGCATTATCTAATAGTGAGCATCAAACGGAGTGCAGCCTGTATTTAGACAACCGCGTATTCATACTCGTCAGTATTTAGACAAATCCTGTATGAACCAATCAGAATCGAGAAAATACATAAATAATCCAAAATAAATCATAATTATTTATTATTTTCTTCTTTGTCTCGATTCTGATTGGTTGAAACAGTATTTGTCTAAATACTGACGAGTCTGAGTACGCGGTTGTCTAAATACTGCTATGTAACCGCATCAAACGATGCAATACTAAAGACAAAATACGTGCTAGTAAATCACTCGCCAATGAGATTCAGAACAAAAGCTGAGCACAAAATTGTATGCATTTTTTGGTTGGAAAAAAGTAAATCGTATTCAAGCGTTTGCTGGAGTAAACACTACTTTAGTAGAGAAAATTTCAGTCTTTGGAACATTAATTCTGTAAATAACTTGAGATTAGCTACATTGTTGTTAACCATTTAATGATAGCGAGTATATCCACTTCACTGTGCAAATTTTTATAAAATATTCACGATTGATGATTCACACTTCTCTTCGGACCAGCTTGAAAATGTCAAAACAAATGATGAAATTTCTTTATTTGGCCTTTAACTTTGTGAGTTTAATTCGATTGTTGTGTTTTCTAGTTGTTATTAGTTCATCCAACGTCAGAAATACAAAAAGTTGGTTTCTTCCGATGATGCTGGTAAGGGTTGGTATGTAAATGTCGCAGGTAAAAGGGGAAATTTTCTGGTCTAGTGTCCGTATTTGTTCATGAGAGCCTCGGACGTCACCGATTTGGGTCGCTCAATCGGGAGTCCTAGCGCTCTGTCCCAGACTAGGGAAGCGAGGACTCCGAGTGCTCTTGAGACTCCGAACAACACAGTGTAATACTGCATCTCTTTCAGACCATAGTACTAAATAAAATTGGACATAAATAAAATTCGACACAGATAAATTTCGACATCACGTCAAAACAGACTGAAAATCAAGGTCAGGCGCGGATCTATGAATTTTTCGAGGGGGGGGGGGGATTTCCAAAAAAATTGAAAATTTTGTCGACCTTTTTTAGGTCGACCAAATTGTTTTTCTGAGGTCTTACAAATCACTATAAAGACCCTAATTTGACCAAATTTTCTGCGCCGCAGGCAAACTTTGAAAAAGGCCAAAAACGCATTTTAGGCACTTTTTGGAAAATGTTGACCAAAGTTCACGTTTTATTTGGCGCGCGCTCCCCCTCAAAATTAGTATAAATTGGCGCCAAAGGCGCCTTTAGAAAATTTTTAGAGTCCTTCACCAAAAATAGATATCTAAAAATAGTACAAAGGGGGACCCTTTGGGTCGGCAGGGGGTCGAATCCCTGAGGGGGGGCATCTCCCACCCTAAATCTGCTACAGCAGAAGTTGATCAATATTAAGTCATCTTATCATAAATCATTCCTTGCAAAATCGTTCATTGATCGTTTGAATTCAACGTATAAAACGCCATGCAGCGATGATGATCATACCAAACAACCTAAGACCATATAAAAATATATCAATCTGTCAAATTGAGCCAGGGTGACTTATCTAGTCTAGTTCTTCAAAAAGATTTAGCAATTTTGTATGCAACTCAACCCACCTGAAGCAGCACTCCGGAATGTGCGTCAACATTTGGCCATGGGTTCTTGGCCTTGCCCTGTTCTAGCAGAATATCTGGGGCCAATTTGTACACTTGGGCCACTATCTTGAACATGGGGTCATCCGGGAGGTGTTTCTGGGCAAACTCCATCTGGCAAGTATATCTAGGGTCCGTCTTCCGCAGAACAGCGTGACCATATCCAGGCACTACCTGAAACATCAAAAATCCATGACTCTAAATGATCCTTGCACGTACCTTCAAACAATGAATAATTTGAACCAGGGGCGGATTTAGGGGGGGGGCGGACGCCTCTTCCTCAAGGATTCGACCCCCTGCCGACCCCCTTTGGTACTTTTAAGAAATCCAGTTTTGGCCGACCAAACTAAATTTTTTCTAAAGGCGCCGTGGGCGCCAAAATATACTTAATATAAGGGGGGAGCGCGCACCGAAAAAACGCGATTTTTTGGTCAACATTTTCCAAAAAGTGCCTAAAAATTTTTTAGCAGTTTTTTCAAAATTTTGCCTGCGGCGCAGAAAATGTGGCCGAAATAGGGACTAAACAGGCTTAGGGAGAGCTCGAAAAATCAACTCGGTCGAAAATCAACTCGGTCGACCTAAAAAAAAATGGTCGACAAAATTTCGAAAATTTTTTGAAAATCCGCCCCCCCCCCTCGAGAAAATCCTAGACCCGCCCCTGATTTGAACTATATCTTTACAGCAGAAGCCTGGGTAACACTCCATACGGACATACTCTAGATTTCATCGTCTGGCACGCAATTAGCTTGCATGAGATGAAGCTAAGAAATTACTCCAAACGGAATAATGTGAGTGTAGGGGTAGGGTTCAAGTACGCGAGAGAACAAGTATAGGCAAAAGGGGCTTTACTTTTCATCCTTCGTCTACGTTTGTTATTGAAAAACAAACTATATATTTTGGGTTTTAAAGCAACACAACAAACCTTTTAGACAGAATTATCGTTCATTTTTTTTCAAAAAAGAAGTTCCACATCTTGTGTCTTTCGACTTAGTGTACTAGCTGACCTGGCCCGACTTGAGTGTTTTCCAAATCCACTCCTTGAGACTCTCATCAGTTGGGTGCATTCCCACATCATTCACCACTTTGGTCAGCCACACTAGCACCTCCTGATTGGCAAGACCATGAAGGGGACCAGCAAGACCACACATGCCTATAGAAGACAACATAGACAGGTTACAGTTGGAAAAGAGTAACGAAAGCAAGGAAACTTAAAAAAAAATAACGACTTGTTTTTTTTTCAAAAACCTTCAACTTTTAAAATTCGAAGAAAAAATAGATGACATTAAAGCTCTTTGAATTTGTAGAACAATTTATGATTTCCACTTTTTTGTCAAAATTAGCCCAATTTGAGAAAACTGGATCAATTGGTAAAACATTTTTCATTTGGAAATCTGATAATTAATTTCCATTTTCGAAATTAGAAGTCGATCAGGTTTTTTGTGACCTTTACAGTTTTGCTCTTCAATGGTGGAGTTTGCCTTCCTTTTAACAAGGAAAATGCACTGAACTTAAAAAGAAATCACAAGTCAAACCGCAAAGAAAAAACAAAACTAAGCGAACAAATTTTAGACTTTTTCCTGAAAAAAAGCAAAAAAAAATCACCAAGATCTATATAAGAGTACTCACAATGTTCATTACTCTTAATAACAATTCATCGAATATGCAAGACTATCAAACTTAAGCAAGCATAACGAGAGCTGAACTTTGCACTCAATTGTTCGGATAATATCTTTTATTGCTTTGCTTCATGCTTTATAAAAAAAAACAGTCTTGCTTTCTATGTTTTTCATCGTTTAACATTGACTCCAAAAAATCTAGATGTCATTTTTTATTTTTGAATATGTTTCTAACCATTTGAATAATGCTGCAGTTCGGTAAAAGTTAGCAGGGAAAACAAATCTTGATATTTGAAGATGAAACATTCGATAATTTTAGATTAGATGAAAAAAGCGGGAAAACAACTGGAGATATTCACTAACACTTTTAAGTTTTCAGCAAAAAGTCAACTCTGAATATTCTCGAGCGATGCTCAACTTGGCATGATGATGGCACACTAAATTAGCCCCTTGTTATTTTATCAAGTATAAAACGAGTGAATGTTGTTATGGACAACTGCTCACTTTCAATGGTTTAATGTCTATCACAAAAAACTCTGCAGCAAAACCAACAGTCAATCACCCATTATTCGAGCATACAGAAAACGTACCAGATTTTTTTTAAAAAGCAGCACTTCTGAGATCCCCAGCATCTATTAAAAGTTGCTTCTTTCATTTTGTGCAGGCCTACTGGCGAAACATCAAAAAATTAGAAATGGTTGTGGATTAGAGAAAATACAAAGAGTTACAAGGAGCTGACTACCATTCCTCCGTATGACTTGAAGCTGACTCTAAATACGCTGTTCGGCACAACAAATCAAAATGACCAGCTCGAAATTCGGAGCAGAAGAATTATATTGAAAGATTTTAAACCACTTTTAAGGAATCAGTTTTATAATGCGATAAACAGAAACCAAAAAAAAAAAAAAAACCCGGTCGAGGGATGACATAGCTTCTCAATTATGAATGTATTACGTTCTCATTGGCGCATGAAAATTCAATCAGCAAATAAGAAAGGAGTAAAGTATACACATAAATTGCCTGATTTTGTTCAAAACCGGAGAAAAACCTATACAAGTCCCACATATGAACAATTACATATCAGAAACTTTTAAGAAAGATCCAAAAAATTGTATAAATTCAGAACTCGAAGCACTTTCATTTAAATTTGATCAATAAAAAACCTTTTATATCAAAGAAAACTGGACGCCCTAAAGACTTCGATGTTTAACCACTTTTTTTGTTTCACATTTGCATTTAAGGAAAACAATTTCATACGACTCGTCTCATTTTTTGCGAGTTGCCTTTTTCATAAAAAAAATTAGAGTCTAATTTTCTGAGTTGTTATTTGTTGCGATTTTTGACAGCACCAAACTTACCCTCCATATTTTCAACAGACAAAAACTCACATACCCAATTCATTTTGGGTACCATATAAACACTTTAGGTATCCTATTCTGTCAAACTTTTCTGCGCTGCAGGCGAGACTTTCAAACAACAAGCCGAAAAATGCATGGTATTTGCTATCATCTAATTGAAAAATTTGTCTTTGTTTATAAGTGGAGTTGTTACCAACACTTGGAGTTGTTACCAACCCAATTCACCATTTTAAACAGATTTTTTCTTACCCTACACATGTAAAAATCATGAGTTAAAGCACACTTACCTGCTCCGAAGCTCAAGTAGGGATCGCTAAGAGCACTGCCAACTAAATGTACTGTATGAGCAGAAACGTTGCCACCTTCGTGGTCTCTGAAACAATGCACATGCAAAATTCACTTCAAATCATGGTTACGATGTGGCTGCCTCTTAGATCTTAAGGTCGAAGTCATTAGAACAAAACTAAAGAAATTTTATTATTCATAAAAAATAACAAATTGGACCAACTAGATAATTTGAAGACTATTAGGGCTTTTACGTACATTTTATTTCAGCATAATCTTGAACATAAACTAAAATAGTGAAAACAAAATTATACTATACAAACGTCATGTTCAAAAATTGGAACTCTTCAAAAACTACGTTATCTCCTTCAAGGAGTTACGCGAAAAGAATATTGAGCATGAATTTCAAAAACGTGTTTTCTTAAAAACTCAAGGCACCAAATGGTAGAAAATTTGGACAAACAAAATTGTTCAAACATTTTGCATAAATCTGCACGCACATTTATAAACAATAACTAGATTTTCAGCTATATTCAAATTACTCGCATACAATTTTGTGCTAAGCTGGTACACATCATATCGCCTCAAAACATAAGACTGACACCTAGAAGCACTTCTTCGCGAACCGTTACGAAAATGAACAAAAAGTGAAGTTGCACTTAGCACAAACAAATGCGAAACAACGGCAAAAAAAAGCTACAAACACTCATAACATAGCCAATCGAAGACTGGAAAAGAAAAATGAACGAAAGTAAACATAAAAACACGGACTTAGTTGAAAAAATCTCAACTTTCGAATTTCAAAGAAAAAAATAGAAAGCTGTTTAAGCTTTTTAAATTTCTAGAATGATTTATGATTGGCGCGTTTTTGATAACATTAGCCCAATTTGGGAAAACTGGATCAACAGGTGAAATTTTTAATCCGCTGGAAATCTAAAAAATAAATTCCACTTTCGAAACTAGAAAGCGATCACGATTTTTCACACCATTTGCACGTTCGTATTAGGAGAGTGTTATTTCAGCAGCAGATGAATTTCAATTGAACTCAAAAAGTTCATTTATACCTAATTGCATCAATATCTTAAGACTTTTTCCTGAAAAAAAAAACAAACACAAAATCAGCAAGACCTATACATTTTCACTACGTTCATTACTCTTAAAAAGATTTTTCTCAAATACGTTTCGTGTCATTTTTTCGGCATGTTGTGATAAAAAGATCTGAAAGAAAAAAACGAATTTGCGCATATTTGAGAGTCATAGTAAAATAGGTCAATTGGAAAACAGTTTTTGAAGAAAAATGATCAGAAAAACGAAAATAAAAATTAAAAGATCTGAAATTTTTTGAATTTTCAAGTTTTGATTGCCCGGTCACCTTATTAGCTCGAAATTAGACCAAAAATCAAAAACTTTAAACCGGTTTTTCTCGACACTGTGAAAAAAAATTTTAACGTGGTTCGAATCACGACTGAAAGGGCTTTAAAATGATATACCACTCAACCCAAATCGATCATTATTTGTGTACCTGATTTTGCGTGGAAAAAACTAAAATACGCCCAAATACAAAGTTCCTCCCCATTTCCAATGGTCGGAACAAAAAACTTAATTATAGACACAATAGATTTAATTACAGTTTCGAAAAAGTAGCATCTCAAAAAATTTCTTTTTCATCGTGGATAAGTGGTTTGGAATTTTTCTGTGAAAAACATGAAGCCAAATTGGAATTCACGGTCATTTCACCTCCTTCTAGTTCTATAGCCTACTGAAGATATATCCTGAAAAGTATCAACACCAGCCAATCAGGATCCATCTAACTAAACCTTACAGAAGATTTGTTTAGTTTCAAGTAAATACACTTGCCTTCAGATTGGAAAAAGGGAGCTTTTACTTATAACCTCAAAAAAACCAAAGTTTCTACATATCTTTTGATAGCAAGGAAATAAGAATACGAAAAAGATTCAATACTGGACTAACGAGTAGCACGAGACTATCTGGACGAAAAAAGATAGTGTCACAAGCACTCTATGTATTGATCAGAAATGATAACATCTGGTCTATCTCAAATGACATGAACTCACGTGTGTATGGTAAGATAGAGCCGCATGAGTTCTACGAATTTGGGGTCAGTGTATCCCATCATGTCACAGAAGTTCTCACTCCAGTCCTTGGTGTTGTCTATCGTGCCCACACTCGAACCCTCCTTGTACAAGTTGCGGTAGATGATGGCAGCGATTGTGGGTAGCTTCGCTATCACTTCCATCGCGTCCTCATAGACGTACTAAACATTCAAACCATTTCAAACTAACCAATTCGTTGCGTACTGAAAAACAGGTAAAACGGCAAAGCATCTCTCCGAGCATCTATTTCAATTAAATTTAAAATAAGATCTCAAAATTTCAGCAAAGAAAATCTCGAAGCCAGATATTTTGACTTGTGATCCAGTTATAGCGCAAAAAATACATCACTGTCTTTAGAACTATACCGCAGTTAAAGCTCTATATTAAAAACAAAAGCTGACAAAAGCTAGATAAGTTCTTAGGATGACCTGAAAAAAGCAAAGTTTTTGATTGTCTTGAAACATTGCTTTTCAACAGCACGTTCAACACAAAATTAAAAGTAGTTAAAAATTAATTGAACATGTTTTTACCTTCTAGTATGCAACAGCCGAACTGATTTCAAAATTGATCTAATATATTTGTTACCTCCCAATATGTAGACTTGTGCACTCCCTTCTCGTACGCAGCCTTGAACTGGGACTCTGTATTGCATGCCACTATGGCAGCACTGAATTGGGCCATGGGATGGAGGGAGGAGGGGAAGTTGTTCAACATCGTCACCACGTGTGAAGGCAGGTCTGCACGCTCAGCCCACTCATGTGATACCCAGGCCACCTGAAATACTATTTTTTCAAGAATCTAAAATGAATAAACACTTGAATTCTGTTTCATATTGCCCAAACAAATTTAAAAATAAAGTATTAAGTCAATATTACGCCGGAACATTTCATATGATATAACAAATTTTAAAACAAATCTATTATTTAACACCGAGGTGAAAAAAAGCTTCGCACCATTTGCGATACAACACAAACGCAGCATGACAAACTAGCAGACAGAAATAGCTACGAATGATGCTAAGTCAGAAAAAAGGTAGAAACGTCGAGAAAAGTTAGATCTACCAAAACTTTCATATCTGTCTTGAATTAAGTTTAAAACATGACAAAAAAAAGATAGATAAATTTGATTCTAGAAAAAACTAACAAAGCGGTAATAAAGCCGACAATTTTTGAGCAGACGCCAGTTGAGCCAAAAAAAAGTTTTCATAAAAAAAACTTCAACATTAAAAAAAAACATTTAATGATCCCTCAAAATACTCGCACGCATAAGAAACGTGTTTTGCTCATCAAACGACGCAATGTGAGGCCACAAAGCCGATTAGGCATAAAACGATAAGTTTTTAAGCCGAGTAAAAACAAAGGAAACGAAAAAAAAAACAATATATACCGAACCAGACTTGGTAAATTTAAAAAAAAAACAACTAATATTTGGGAAAATAATAATAAAATTAGTACTTGAAATGCTGACAAAAACAAAAAATGTCAGCTGGTTGACGGAAGTCTATCTTCTTAATTGAAATATTTCCGGGCGACTTTAATCCTACAAGACTGGCGCTATAAAAACCACCTAAAATATTGTTTTTGTTTAATAAAAACATTGTATCTGCTAGAAAAATTATGGAAAATATATTACCAAAAAAGCAGAACATTTTTGGTTTTAAAAAAAAGACAGTTCCCGGCCGAATTCAAACTCCAAGCCTTTGTAGTCTCAAGCAAGTTTGCTACCTCTAAGTCAGATGATTGATTGAACTACAAATTTTTATGAAGCAATTTGAAACACGTGCTACATTTTCGCAAACGAAATCAAATTCTTTGCGAAAAAAAGTCTAGTACCGGGTAGCAACACATTTGCTTATCGCAAGGATTTAAGAAAAAACATTCTAAGGATTAAAAATTATGGCATTGAACATTTTATGGGACAAAATCTTAATAATTATATACGATGAACGAATGGAGACAGTGTTAAACACTGAAAATATTGGAAACTTAAATATTAAGACCCTTGCAATTTTTCCAAAAATATCAAAAATTTCAATCCTAAAATGATTGAAAAACCAATCCTAAAACCAATACTGACAACTTACCTGTTGTGCTGTGGGGATCTGCCCTGTCATAAGTAGCCAGAACAGTCCCTCTGGAAGTGGTTCCTTTCCTCCCGGGGCTTTGGGCAGCATCTCTTGGCACTCAGGGATACTGTAGCCTCTGAATCGGATACCCTCGTCTGGGTCTAGAAGGGATGTCTCAGTGACAAGTCCTGTGATGCCTCGCATACCCCCGTATGCCTGAACAAAAGTATTTGAGTTCAAAAACACATAATCTAGCCTACTCTGAAGGGATTCAAAATGATTTTATCCAAAAATCGTGCGGAAAATTTTGCTTCATAATTTCAGTTTTAAGTTTCACTAGCTAACGCCACATAGTGTCAAAACTGTAAAAAAAAGTTTTAAAAATTTGTTCTCTGCCATTTAAACACTAGTGCTATAACTTTGAATCATTAATTTGAGTTTTTAATTCAAAACTGGGATAATTTTTACCATTTCAGCAAAATTCCAATATCTGCAATTTGCTTCATTCCATATTATAACGCTACGCGTAAATTTCACTTATGTTTCTTATGATGCAAAAATTATCTGCTTGTAGATGAGCACCTGGTCAATTGTGTATTCTCCGAGAGATTTGTTTCCATGTTGTTTCCTGAACGCGCCAATCTTCTTCTGTTCCTCCGGAATCACATTTGCCAACACGTCTTTCAAATTCTACAAGAAAACTTCCAGAACTCAAAAAAATGAGGTGGATGAGACGCTTTGATTATTTTCTTCCAATCGTTTTATAATTTCTAACTAAATTTGCTGCTGATAAGGGTTGTGATTGCTAAAAAGAGCAAGTTTTAAAAGACCTGAACAACAAAAATGAATAAGAAACCCTTGAGAAGCACGTCATTTAAGATCCGGAAACATACAAGTGAAGTACCATCAAAAGATCGTTGCTTTGTCTCGCTTAAACTTTGGTTGTTCACAACAATGTTTTTTTTTCATTTTGGCTAGGAATTTGGTTTGATGCATCATGTTTTGAGCTGATTAAACCCCGTTTTCAGTCCCATTTCAAGCCGATGGCTAGATTTGTTCATGAAGATGACCTCAATGTACGGTTTATGATCTTTATTCACACTCGAACCAAGTTAATGAAAAGTTCAAAGTTATCTAGAAGTTCAAAGACTAGACTTTGAGTTTTCAGATAACCTCAAATGAACTTCAAACATACCGTAGGCTGTGTTGCTAGACTCCTTACAGGTTTAATGCCGACCTGAAATAGATTTCATTGCTTAAAGATGAAAAATGAAATAAATTAACTAGAAAGATAATGACGCTCACATTTGTTGCCCGCGAGGAAAGGCGAATAAGAGATTTCATTGTAATCTGAAATAAAAACATCTATCAATCCATTTCGAACATGAGGGGGAGGAGGCAAAATGGGGAAAGCTTTGGTAAAGTCACCACATCTCAATCAAATATCGGCGGTTTGAAGCAGATGATCCGTACTCCTTGCTTGAAAGTGAGGCAATATTACCCAACCCAGGAGAAACGACCTTGAAAATTGCACACAAACCAGGTGCACAGCAGCAGTTACGCGTAATGAGCCTAACAGCTCGTATTTCGGTCATGTTCCTCATGGATAAATTGGCTGGCCTCAACAGAAAATTCTCGTTTTACAAATGGTTGGAGGGATAGAGAATGCATGACTTTGTCAAATAAGAATACTTCACATTTAATTATAATCAAATTTTCTGGCTGAACTTATGTGGTGGAAATGCCAACCATCCACAAATAAAATCTTTGATTAAATGACCAGCAGGTATGGATTTTAATCATCGCTAGGGTAATCAGTCTTGGTCTAATAGTCCTTCCAGTGTCCAGAATCACAGGTGACTAATCAGCTACTCGCATTTTTTATATAGCATTTTGAAATTGACATTATAAAATAGGAAATAAAATTTGCAGTGAAAAAAAAATTAATTTGAACACAGTTTGTATCTTTACATCGTAATATTTCGCATTTTGCCTACAGCACGACGAAGAACTGCTTTAAAATTAGAAACTTTTATATGTTTTGGGCGGTATCTACTACAGCTTCACATAACCTTCAACTCAAAGAAAAAAATAACGCAGAAAAAAAAAGAAAACAATACTAGGAACTGCCTGAGTAGAAAGTGACATGCTAGATGAAACTTCAAAAAATAAACCCTGATGACTTCCAATATTGAATCATATTAAAAAGTTTCCCATGCTGTCAAACTTAATCCCCTCTAGCTCTTTCCGCAAAACCAGAAAAATTCCTAAGGACAAAACATCGTTCGAAAGACATTACACATTGAATTTCAAACGTCGGAAGAAATTGCATATCAAACTATCTGTAAATTGTAAATTGAAATAAATTTCCGGCGCCATCGAAAGAGGGGCTAACATCCATACGAAACCAGGGCGTCAAAGATCAAGATGCCTCAAGTCTATGGTTAATGATTTCGCTATCACTAGTGATTTCGGTAAGAAAGCGCATGAAAAAATGTGAAAAGGAACGAAAACATTCGAGAAAAGTGAAAATTTGATAATATATCTAACTGAGGTATTGATGCGTGATACTTGCTGGTTGCGCAAATTTTCTTGGTTATCTCGTTATTTAGAAAACTTGCCAACCAGCTAGTGTCAATCATTTCACCTTTCTCGAGAAGAATTTACTTAGCCTAATTGTTTTTATAAACTTATTAAATTGTTTCAGAGAGGCAGCAATGTACAAAAAAATGATCACAAAATGAACACACATATATGCAATTAAATGGTCCAGATGATGTCAACACCAAGATATCCCGGGTTTGAGATTTCCCGACCATACTGCTATCCCCAGAACTAGAATTAAGAGAACAAAGCCTGCCCTGAGTCCACGAGAGGAAGAACGATCTCATCTCAATGATGGTATTTCAAAAAAGATAGAGAATACTATCATGAATTTACTCAAGTCGCTTCTTCTAAGTAAATAAAGAACGAACTCTAACATATAATAAATGGTCCAGTACAAAAAGCAATGAATGCCATCAAGTAGGAAATTTTGTCGTCTGCAACATGAATGATATCCACTTAAGCCAATCTAAACCGACTTAAAACGTCAGTGTGAGAAACTCGAAGCCGCTGATCGTCGTGATAAGTTACATATGTTGGGTGACCCGGAAAAAATTAATGGTGAGAACAGATGGGAGTCTAATGAAAGTATCATTTCTCAAGTAGTCAACATTTCACGAGAAATTGGAGCTAATGTAGAAGAACAAGATAAATCAGTGGCGAATCGCCTACCATCAGGACCTAAAGGAAGCCAACCTATCATTAATTGCTTGTCAAGGAGGATTGGAAAAATAAGTCTGCGAAACAATAAGTCATTGGCTCGCATGTAAAATTTGATTAAATAAATATAATCGAACAACTGAGTCAACCAAGCGTAAATTTCATAAAGTGACGAAAAAAATCAAAAAAAAGTCTGTGTGGACAAGAGAAGGAGTAATCTTTTTCATATGGAAACGTAAAAATAAAATAAAACAAATTAATGGATTGTTTGAAGGAGGTCAAATTCCTACAATAGTGCTCAAAAGGTTATTAAGTGTTTTAGTGTTTTTCGGAGAGACGAAGTATCCGGCGGATCCCAAAGTACGTTATGTGTACGCTCTTCAAAGTTTTCCCTCTGTGTATTCTAAAAAGAGAAAAAAGCGAGGTGGTAGTACAATGGTTCAAGTATGCGATAGAATAACTTCCTAAGAACAAAAATTACAATTACACCGAAATCTTTGGCATTTTGGTTGATTTCAATGGGAAGCGAACAAGTATTGTAAAGATGCATTACCTACAAGAATTGACAAAGTGAAACTTGTAGAACATTTAGACAAAGAACGAGAAGTCCTTTCCAACAGAAAAACTTCACAATTACTGTTACTGATGATTTCAACCTTGACATAATTAATTATGGTTTTGAATTCGTATATAGATCACCCCAAAGAGTTTCAGAGTCCAGCGAATCTTATATTGATAAAAAAAAATAGTTCGAAATAACCGATTTTGAAGTATCAGTACTAGGTAATGAATCATTTTCCAATCATTATCCGCAGGGTGGAGGACTTTGTTTTAAGCAGTTTAAAACACAGGGATAAAAACTGTTTAAAACAGCGGGGAAAAAACACGTTTAAAACAATTTGATTGAAATACACAATTAAAGCCGTTTTTCGGCTAATGACGCAAAAGTGCTAAAGTTATGACGCAGTAGTGCTCGATGTTTCACACCTCAGTTTTATTGCCTGTTGCTTTGACTTGCTCGCTGATTTTCTACGCAGCTAACCTTCTCGACCACAGATTTCGCGGTGCAAAACTTTCCCCAGTTGAAGTTGCAGGCCGGAATGAGTTACATCGGCTCAGTTAATGACTTACGGATCTTTGAGAAATCAACTTGACGTCGAAAAAGCGGGGAAAATTACTTTCTTGTACAAACAATTCAACTGTTGAATTCAGTGTTCGCGAAAGATTTTTTTCTTAAGCCAATCAACAAAAAAAACGTAGCCGCGAAAAAAAAACATAAAAAACGTGTTTTTTTTCGTAAAAAACATGTTTTAATGTATAATTGGATAAAAAACGTTTAAACTCCCACCCTGATTATTCGGTTACGGTATAAAAGTAAACCCATTGATGCCTAAAATTATAAGTATGTTTCGAATTCTATCTTCTCTTGAAAACGAAAAAATACTGATTTTCAATCAAATTTAGAACAACTTAGAGTTCACAGATCTGACTGATTTGAAAATTAGATAAGCTGAATTAAAACAAAAGAAATAAGTTCAATAAAGACCGTAATAAATGTCATACATTTTAACAATTAACAAAGTAGAACAATTACTAAGTTTACTGATAGTATTGGGAAGTCGAGACAACTTTTCAAATTAGTAAATGGAATAACAGGTGAGGCTACTAAGTTTAGGGGAATGCCAAGTCTTTGTGTAAGTGGCAAAAACTTATCTGAAAACTCGATTTCAAATACTTTTAATGAGTATTTTATATCCAAATTCTGACTCTATACTTCAAGTGGAAAATTCCCCTCAATCAATGTATCTCTTTAATGAAAGATTTAAACAAGCATTTGCTTAAATATGAAATGTAATTCAGTTTGATTTAGTTTTATCCCGAAAATTTTTTGATGTTTGAGCCTTCATGCATTAACATTAGAATTACTTTTTTTTCGAGCAGTTCATACAACAATTGGATCCAATTAATAATTGCCCAAGCAAAATGATAATTGTTGTGTTGGCAGCTCAATATTAGAGTTTTTAATTGAGCGATATAATCCAACAGGTAATACATTATAGGTAACCCTCGTTACATTTAGAACAAATTTCCAGAAACTTATTTCAAAAAAGACCAAAAAAAATTCATCAAAAGAACCAACAAAAATTTCACTCTAAAAATCCAACATAAACAATTCACACAGAGGCGAAGCAAAACTTTGCACGAGTTTCGATCAGCCGACAGCAAAAAAAAATAGACCAGTCGGTCATGAGGCTACCGCTCTAAATTACTGCGCAACGTTGCCTGTTGTTTAGGCTGAAGCCAAAAAATTATTCAAGAAACGATGTGAGAGGAGGATGAGCTATTTTTAATTTGGAAGAACTTTATGAAGAACTGAAACTGTTCAGTTATAAAAAAAATGTTTTTTTTTAATAGAACGAGTTTTCAGATACTTTCCTATTCCTTGGCAGGTTGCTATTTCCAATTGATAGCACTAAAAATATAGTTGAATTGCTTTTAAACGAGATGGAAAGAAAAAACCAAATCGATCAAATCAAAAAAATGAGAAAATTAGTTTCATCCCTGAATCTGAGACTCGAAGTGCAACCTGTGGTTGATTAATCAAATGTTTTACCTTCCACTATGGTTACTGGCTATACTCAGACCGTTTGATACAAAAGGAGACATTAATATGGAACTGTTTTGACACAGAAAACAACCAATGTGACAAATAATTTTCCTCTAACCCTTATCTACCACCCAAATTTCGTTCCCAGGGCATATGACCTTGTCAAATAAGGGATCATAGTGAAGACCGCATGTTTCTATCTTTTTTACTTTAAAATATATGACCGCTAAACTCTTACTTTATATATCACATTTAAAAAATTCGATAAAAATTTTTGTCTATGATGAGGATTTGAACCCGGTCATCCGGCTTGTGGGACCAAAACCTATAGGCTAGGCTATGGTGTGAGCTAAAACAAAAAATTTAAATTTTTTCAAAAACTAAACCGTTTTCCTTTTAATTCCCAACTTTGGTCGGGAAAAAATTGGAATTTCTTCCAGGGAAGTGAATGGAAAATAAATCGGAAAAAATCGCCTGCTC